TGCGGAAATTGCTAAGCTGTGAGAAAGGCTGGGGGGGCACCATGCAAGGTGAGAAAGGTAAAACTTCAGGAAGAAGTAGGGCTGCTGAGATGGGGATCTCTGGTAGCTCAGGGGCTGCGGGACTGTGGGAAAATAACGGAAGATTGGCGAGGAGGATTGTAAACACGCTCAAGTGACTTGCAGCTGGGGTGTCAAAAAACACATATATCATACTAATTGTTGTTTGGCCTTGTGTGCTGGACAAGTAGAACATTTGTGTTTAGATAACATAGGCCTGTGATAGACTTAGGGGCACCCTATTGAACATGCTTGAGATTCCTGCCCTGCTGTGGGAAAGATCAAAGCACAGCAGTAAACTACGCCTGCGTGAATCCTTGATAAACAGGCAAAAACAGCAGGTTCATTGATCCGCTAGCATGGACCGAGCTCCGCGGTGCCTGCGTTCCCGCTTGTGTGCCTCAGTCCAGGTGCTGCTTCGGGGATCCCCCGATTGGCGAGGTAATGAAATTAAATTCACTATTTGCATTTCATCTGTGGTTTTGTGGTTGTTCCTGCGTCCTGCCTGTGCCGGCTCACACAGGGACACACAGCGGTGCTCAGGCCTGAAACCCACCCCCTGCCCTCCTGCTCCGAGAGGCCTCTTACCCATAGCCAGCAGCTCCTGGTTGGGGTCAATCCTGTAATCGTTCTGCGAGGCTGAAAGGAGATGAGCTGCATCGCCCAGAGCTTCCCGCAGGCACGACCTGCCATGCGCGCGGAGCGGGGCCAGCAGTGCCTGGGACAGCCGTGGGACCCCGTCCCGGCACTCCCCCATCCCAGCACCCCCTGAGCAGCCCAGACAATGCTCAGCCCCTGTGCAAACTCCAGCTGTGCACAACGCAGAACCCCCCCAGCCCACTCCCCAGTCAGGCACGGGGCAGCTGCCTGGCCAGGGGAGGTCAGCGGCACCCTGAGGGACCCCTCCTGCCAGCCCACACTATGAACCGGGCTTGGCACGGGCAGCCCAGTCCTGCCCACTGCCCCTGTGGGAACAGCAACGTCCCCAGCACCCCAAGCCCCCTGCAGAGACCCCTCCTGAGACCACAGGCGCGGGAGGCTGGCGCAACCATACCAAAAGCCTTGGCAATCGCAACGGTCTCCAGCAGGCCCATGAGCGGGACCACGGCCAGCCCGACCCCCATGTCCTGGGAGGGAAGGACGCGGTGAGTGTTGCCACAGAGGGATGAGGGTCGCCCCGCAGCAGAGCCTCCTCCCGCTGCGTGGGGAGCCAGCAAACGCAGGAGTAAGGAGACAGCAGCTTGCAGGGAGCCCCAGCCTCCACTGGCCAGCCTGGCACCCACCTCCACCATGCTCCTGAAGGGGATGGTGCCGTTGGGTGCAGCCATGGAGAAGCGCGGCAGCTGGAAGGCAGGGAGGCCCCGGGGGATGCTGCCGGTGAGCGTGAGCGGCTGGGAGCCCATCACCTGGAAGGAGTAAGCAACCAGGCCAGCAAACAGGACCACGAGGGCGTTGCGTGCTGCAGCAGAGAGAGCAATGGTGAAAACCTGCCTGGAGCCTAGGGCGGCGGGAGGGACGGCAGGAGGTGGGGGGCCGGGCTGCCGAGGGCTTCCAAGCCTTAGGAAGGGGCATGCCACGAAGCAGGAT